CTCACACACACACAAACAGACACACCTGGGTGTTTCTGTCTGTGTCTTAGACACACACAGACACACACACACCTATGTCTCTCACACACACACAGACAGACACACCGTCTTAAGACACACAGACACACACACACCTGTGTCTCTCACACAGACACAGACAGAAACACCTGGGTGTTTCTGTCTGTGTCTTAGACACACACAGACAGACATAGACACACACACACACCTGTGTCTCACACACACACACAGAGAAACACGACACACCTGGGTGTTTCTGTCTGTGTCTTAGACACACACACACACACCTGTGTCTCTCACACAGACACAGACACACCGTCTTAAGACACACACACATAGACAGATACACACCTGTGTCTCTCACATACACGCAGACACACCTGGGTGTTTCTGTCTGTGTCTTAGACACACACAGACACACACACCTGTGTCTCACACACACACAGACACACACACCGTCTTAAGACACGCAGACACACATAGACACACACATACCTGTGTCTCACACACACACAGACACACCGTCTTAAGACACACAGACAGACACAGACACACACACACCCCTGTGTCTCTCACACACACGGAGACAGACACGCCATCTTAAGACACACAGACACACACACACACCTGTGTCTCTCACATACACACAGACACACACATACCTGTGTCTCTCACACAGACACAGACACACCTGGGTGTTTCTGTCTGTGTCTTACACACACACAGACACACACACCTGTGTCTCTCACACACAGACACACGTGGGTGTTTCTGTCTGTGTCTTAGACACACACAGACACACACCTGTGTCTCACACACAGACACACCATCTTAAGACACACAAGACACACACAGACACACACACACGTGTGTCTCACACACAAACACACCGTCTTAAGACACACAGACACACACACACACCTGTGTCTCTCACACACACAGACACACACCTGGGTGTTTCTGTGTCTTAGACACACACACACACCCCTCCGCACCCGACCCCCCTCTGAGCCCCAACAACTGATCACGCGCCCCGGCTCTCGTCCACACCCCAGCAGCGCACAGGAAGTCATCCTGGAGGAAGGAGCATCCTCTCCAGTAAGAGACGTGCACAGACGGAAGGAGGCTGCCCCCTCCCCCACGCCCCATCTCCATCCCAAAGGCGGGGACATTCTATTTTTAAGAGAAGATGACCGGCCAGGCCCCCCGTGCCCTCGGCAGCGCCCACAGCCCGCGTGACTGCAGGCAGCGGGTCAGGGCCACGGCCCACTGGCTGCCCACGCCCTCGGGGCGGTCCTGGCCGGCGGCCCGGGCACCTGACAATAGACCCACGCCTGTGCCCAAAGGAACACAATTGGCGGTTCTGGGTGCCAAGGCACGGCGGGCCCCTCCGCAACTTTCCGTTGCTCACTTGCGTTTCCACAGGGTCCGGGCGTCAGTGCGCGGGCCTGGGGTTCCCCGAAAACACAGCCCGCTTCTCCAGGACCCCGGCTTCCGGGAGGGAGGGAAGGAGACGGACAGACAGACAGAAGGAAGAGGGAAACACAGAGTGGGGGCACAGAGGGAGGGAAGGCGGGTCCCAAGCCCTACTCCCCAAATCAGGTGTCCTGAGGACCCTTCCTCACGGCCAAGTGCACAGGGCACGGGCAGACCCCGGGGGGAAAGAAAAGGCTCCGCGTCCCCCGGTCGGTACACTGCAAGTCCTAGGCCATGACCTTGAGCGCACGCTTCCTGACTCCGCGCCTAGCTTCCTCCTTCCCCAAACAGGCGCAGGGGACCCAGGAAAGTCCCCGAACACCCCTTCCCCATTCGCTTTCCGACAAACCACACGTCGTCCGAACCCTGCGGGCAGCAAAGGCGAGCCACGCAGCCACAGGCGGGGGGTGCCCCGAACCTGAACCCAGCGCCCACTCAGGGCGGCCACAGGCCTCGGCGCGTCGCGATCCGCGCGCCCAGAAAACTCCGTGCGAAGTCCACGCGGCTCACACCCGGGGAGCACAAAGGGGAGCCGGCGTGTGCTCACAGACCCCACGTTCCAGGCGCTCAAGGGGTCCGGGGACGTGGGACGCGTGGCCGCGGCCGCCCCCGCCCGCCCCCGTCACGCGCGCCCCGGGGCCCAGGTCCCCGCCAAGCCCCTGGGGGGAGGGGGGGTCTCCGCGGAAGCCATCTGCCGCCGGGCAGGGCGAGGCTGCCCAAAAACAAGTGTGCAGGTGCGTGCAGCCGCCGCGGCCGTCGCTAGGGGCCCCTGGCTGCGACGGCGCGCGAGGATCCCAACGCGGTGACCCCCCCACCCCGGGAACTTTGGGGACGCCGGGCGCCGCGGATGCCTGGGGCGCTGGGGAGCTCAGTTCTGTCCACCTGAGGGGATCTCCGGGGCGCGGGGCCGCGCGCCCGGCAGGCGGGGAGGCCCGCGGGGGCCGGAGGGGGCCCCGCTCCGCGCCTCGGGGCGCCCAGGGGGTCCCGGGGCGCACGGCCGCGACGCCCAGCGCAGGCGCGAGCGGCCAGGAGGGCTGGCTCGGGCGACGGCACACGCGCCCTTTGTGTGACGCCGGCGCCCCGCGGGTCGGCGCCCCGCGCGCCCTACTCACCCACGGTGGCCAGCGTGTCGAAGTCCTGCAGGCGGTAGGCGGGCGGCTCCGGCGAGGGCGCCTCGGGGCTCGGGCAGAGCGCGGGCGCGCCGTCGGGGGCGTCGGCTCGGCCCCCCGGGGCCTCGGGCTCGGTCGCGGCCGCCTTGGCCGCCTTGGCCAGCCCGGGCGCCTCCATGGGGGCGCGCTCCAGTCCGGGGAGCGCGCGGGGTCGGGCCGGGCGGGACGCAGCCTCGGAGGGCGGCGCGGCGGCGGCGGCGGCATCAGCGGCGCCCACCCATGCGCGCCCCCCGCGGCCCGGCCGAGCGGCGGGGACAATGGCGGGGCGCGGGGCGGCGCTCACTGCAGCAGCAGCAGCAGCAGCTGGTGGGAGTAACCGGCGGCCTCGGGGGGCGGGCCCCGGGGCCCGGGCGGCGGCGGCGGCGGCGGCGGCGGGGGCGGGGGCGGCGCGGCCGAGGCGGGGGGCGCGGCCCGGGCCGGCGGGGGCGGCGCGGGGTCCCCTCGGTTCATCCCTCGCCGCCCGAGTCCGCGGGCGGTGCGCGCGCGCCGAAGGGGGGGCCGGGCGGAAGCGGCCTGGGCGGGGCCGCGCGCTCTCCCGCCCGCCCGCGTCTGGCCCGGGGACCGGGGCGTCCCCGCCGCCGCCGCCGCCGCCGCCGCCGCGCTCCGCCCCCGCCGCGCCCCGGGGCCGCCTCCGCCAGGCCGGGGCGCGCGGGAGGGGCGGGCGGCGCTGGGGAGGGGGCCGCGCCCCCTCGCTCGCCCCCGGAGCTGGGGTCCCCGCCGAGCTCCCCCGGGGCGGGTTGGGGGGGCACCCGCGGGCCGGCGCGCCCGGAAGGGTGGGAGAGGGCGTGGCTGCCACCAAAGTAAAGTTTAAAAAAAAACCCCAAGTGAACCCGGAGCTCACTGCACACAGGGCGCGCCTCCCGCAGGTCCCGGGGGGGGGGGGCAGGGGGGGCGCCTGCGGGTCCAGCGAATAATGAGACCGGGCCTGGGTCAGCTGCCTGGTTTCTCGGGGGACCATGGTGATGCAAGACGCCGGCCGGGGGCGGGGGGGGGCGGGGGGCGAGCAACCCGGACCCCGGTGAGTTCGTTTCTGGGCCGGATTTGGGAGGGAGGGGAGCGCAACGCCGCCCCGTGAGTTTCTGAGCCGGATTTGGGGGCCGGGGGGCAGTGGAAGGAACCCCCCCACGTGAGTTTCTGAGCCGGATTTGGGGGCCGGGGGGCAGTGGAAGGAACCCCCCCCGT